TTAAGCTTAAAAACCAACTTATTTTTCTTTAAACTATAAAAAAACGTTTGTCCGGATCTCGTATGAAATTATCAATTAAAAATTAAAATAATATTATGAAGACTATAGGTAGGTATATAAAATATATTTAAATGGATCTCGGATCGAACTATTGGGTATAGAAGGTCACTATTCGGATCTTATATGTCACCAATATTCAAAACGTGTGTGTTTCTTTTTATCGTATTTTAAATTAAAAATAGGCAAACCCATTTTTTTTTTAGATCTCACAAAGAGACTAAAGAGACTTGCTAATCCCTAACAAAAGAAAAGGTTAAGCATGTGTCATCGGTGGGTGGCTTCTTCATTCAAAATTTTCATTCTTATTGTCATTAATTTATACTCTTATTATGCCAATCGCGTATAGATTGTGTGTATATTAATAAAGAAAAAAAAAAGATCTCACAAAGAATTTCAAAAATAATATGAATTTCTGATTAGTTATGGTTAAGTGAATCTCGGATTAAACTTAGTATTTAAGGACAATATTTGGATCTTATATTTTTATTTAACACTAACAAACCAATAACCACAAGTGTTAAAATTCTATATTTTACACATTGCAGGAAATTAGATTTGTGTTAGAATACATTACGAGATTCTTAAAGTAAATCTTTGTTTAAATAATTTAATTATTTTAGGTAGGTTTTAAATGTCGTACAAAAAACGTAGCTAAAATACCTCTATGAGATCCACATTCTAACAATTCATATATTTTTAGAATAACTTTAAGCCAAATATAATAATTAATATTTAAAAAAAAAACGTAGTGAGATCCTATATAGTACCCAGTGTATACTGTATTGTGTAATTCTACATATTTTGTTTTACAAGAAACTCGTTTTGTGTTCGATTTCGTTACGAGATCCTTAAAATATATTCGTTGAAATATTATAACAATTGAATTAAATGTGTCACACACACAAGGTAGTTAAAATACTGTTAGAGATCCACCTTATATTATCGATTGATTAATTTTTAAAATAACTGTACGCCAATTATAAACAAGGAACGTAATGAGATCCGTAAAAGAATAGATATAGAATTATAATTTTAAATAACACGAAGTCCAGATAAAATATATTCGAATGGATCTCGGTTCGAACTATTGGGAACTCAAGGTTACTATTCGGATCTTATATGACACCAATATTCAAAACATGTGTTTATTTTTTTCGTATTTTAAATTAAAATAAGCAAAGCCTTTTCATTTTAAGATCTCACAAAGAATTTTAAAAATAATATGAATTTTAGATTAATTATGTTTAAGCGAAGCTTGGATTGAACTTGGTATAAAGACAATATTTGGATCTTATATTCTTTTTTCACACCAACAAACCGATAACCGCAAGTATTAAAATTCTATATTTTATATATTGCAAGAAAGTCGATTTGTGTTAGAATACGGTACGAGATTCTTAAAGTAAATAGTAAATCTTTGTTTAAATTATTTAATTATTTCAGGTAGGTATTAAATTTCGTACAAACAACGTAGCTAAAATACCTCTATGAGATCCACATTCTAACAATTCATATATTTTTAGAATAACTTTACGCCAAATATAATAATTAATATTAATAAAAACGTAGTGAGATCCTATATACTACCCAGTGTATTGTGTAATTTTACGTATTTTGTTTTACAAGAAACTCGTTTTGTGTTCGATTTCGTTACGAGATCCTTAAAATATAATCGTTGAAATATTGTAACAATAAATTGTATTAAATGTGTCACACACATAATGTAGCTAAAATACTCTTAGAGATCCACATTTGTAGCGAGATCCGGGGTGTGCACTGCTCACCACTAACTTATTCTGCAGTCGAAGAAATATTATACATAAGGAATATGCGATAAGCATTTATAGAACGTACACCATATAATAATTAAATAGATATAAATAAAACAGTATTGGTACGTCCTACGGGCTAATCGTTGTTTATCTTCAGGGTGTTTTTCCACAACCGTTCGGCGTCTAGTCCATTGGTTGATAACGCAGTCAAATTTTATTTATATATTGTTTTTACCAGAATTGTTAGTTGTTCACTGTATTGGAATATCGATAATTAATAGCTTTGAAAAATCGTATGTGTTATCGATAATAACCGACAATTTAGTAATCATTAATCGTTGTGTGATCTCTCAGAGATATACTCCGATACTCGATACTCGTGTTTTCGCCGTTTTCGTGACTGTATGTCCGTAGCGCGATCCATTTGTGTTAAATTTTGCGTTTTTGTCGTTCATTTGAAGTTCTTACGACTGAATACGAAATATTATTTGTAAGATGAATAAGATGACAAGACGAAAACTTCGTTATATTAGTGATCATTTCAAAGGTAAGAGTACATGATCTTTATTTATTTTTGAAGTAGGTATCTATTGCATACAGAGGCGAAGTGGCTCTTCTTCTTGAACTGACTTCAATAAGCATTCTCTGTTGTACCTATATTATAATCTGAGCCGTGCCGTGTGGGGGGTCCTAGGGAGCATTCAGCATGGTTTAAAGGGGCGCGAAAAAAAATATTTTAAAATATTTTAAACTATACGTAAATAAAATACATGAGAAAGATTATTATTTTACAATTATTAATATATAATTAATATAAAATATAAAAATTCAATTCTTTAGAAATGAAATGCATATAAATAAATAAATTGGGGGCGAATATTTTTAATTTTGCCACGGGCGCTGAATTTTAACGGTACGGCTCTGATTATAATACAGGGATGGTAAATCCGTGGCACGCGTGGCTTAGATGGCACGTGAAAATTAAATTCCAGAACCAATCATACAGTAGGTACTTATGTTATATAGGACCATACTGTGAGGTACATTTCCATTATCCTTGTTTTAAGAAAATTTAACTGTAGGTTCATTAAAAAAATAGATGACACTAATACAATAGGTACATTAAAGTTGGATACTAAATTTTTTTCCTTAGGTATATACAGTGGTCGAAGAGGCTCAAAATAAGTGAAAGGATGCCTAGATTTTATAATTTTCTTTCATTATTATAATTTACACACATGGAGGTGATAGGAGGTGGAGAAGAGTTGAACACCTTATATATAAAACAACAATTTTATATCAAAGTACATATTTTTGTTTTTCATTTTAGTGTCTTAATTATTGCTGATATATTTTAGACATCAAGTGGTCCAATTTAAATGTGTAATTAATTATAACTTACCTAATTATTTAAAAAAAAAAAAACGATATTGTATTCTTGTAGAACTAATGAAAAAACCATTGTAAAAAAATATAATTTTCATGAAAAACACCAATATGAATCTATTACCTTTGTATGTAATTATTGGAGGGGATAAGTTATTTTTGACAAAATAAGTAAAGGAATGGAAAATGTGAATTATAAAAATTGAAGTCATTCCATACCATCATATCCCCAGCCTACTTTGACCACTACATATATACCTATTTATATATTATTATTTTCATAATATCATGCTAGAATAAAACTCTAGTTAGTTTAGCTCATAACGTTAAAAGAATTTGCACCCTTGTTTTAGTAAATTAATGTATTAAATAATTTATATCAACCAAAAGCAAAACCCAACACCCAATTTACCTCTTAAATTTACAAAATAGTATAAAATCAAACAAGCCATTCTTTATTTAAGCATTCCAGACCACAGGACAATATTATAGGTGCCGCCCTGACCCTGATGTAACTAATAAGACAAATATGTTACACGGTTATTTATTTTGTAAATATAAATTTTTAATGTACCTATCTATTAAATTTAGTAATTTATTACTAAAGTACTTACATAAATAACTACTTTGTAACTGGTACGTTAATCAGTTTTTTTTTTTATTCTATATTAGAATGGTTAGCAGTTCAGTTTAAAGATGATAACATCTACTACATGTGTCCTAATATTAAAAAATAAAAAAAAATAAATATGAAAATTGGCTCATTCAAATTTATCAAATGGAAAGATGGATATAAATATAAGGCCAAGATACTTAAAAAAGGGAGTAAGTTTTTTAGTTTGATATTCATATCTTATTTTGAATTTCTATTATTTCATTTTGAATAGCCAAATTATTATCTTCATTAATCCTAAATATATGAATTATTCTAAAACAAAAATGGAATGCTGAAAATAATTTTTTTTTTAGCCAAACAAGAAGTTCAATGTTATTTTTCAGAAATCAATGTTAAATTTGAAACATGTGAAACATCTTTAGATGACTATGATAATGATACAAAATTAATTAAATTAGATTTACAATCAAATATTTGTACAGGTAAGACAGTACCTATGGAAAAAATATTTTTAAAATTAATTATTTAAGGAAAATGGATATACCTATTGCTATGTATAACAATATTAGGTTTTATTTTATTTAGTATTGATTACTATAGGTAAATGGGTACTTGAACTAATTTTATGTTTAATTATTCTCAAATTTGAATTTTCTTTTACTATCAAACTTGCTTATATTCTAATTTTTTTTTAAAGCTATTTCTTCTCAACAAACCGCGGTTAATATCAGTTGTGAAATAAATGATGAAAATGTTGAAAAAATAGAATATCCTTGTAATGCTTTTGGCAATGAGATGCCTATGGTTGATGCTAATATAGTTGGTCAAATGAGTGATGAAAAGTCTCCGTCTAAAAACTTATACATAGAAAAACTCAATTGTACAGGTAAAACTAATGTTGTTTAAATTATAATTTGTATTTAATTTTTGCCTGATAGAGTTTGGTATGCATTATATTTTTGATACCTACAAATTTATTAAAATTGAATGTTTTCAGCAAAATATACTGATATTATTGATAGTAATATGGAAGATACATATGATTACTATGAGTTACTTAAGGATAAAAAAAATAAAGCCAGTAATGAAATTGATATGGCAGCTTCAAATCAATTTCATTTAAACGAAGAAGGTAAATTATTTTATTTTTAGTTTTTATATCTTTGAGAGGCAATTTTCTGATCTAGCCATCTTGCTTTCTTTATAATATAAATTACAAATACTCTATTATTTGTTTTTTTTTTATAGCAAACTTTAAAATAAAGAAGTATTTAGACAACAAGTCATCAAATATGAACACTAATTTACAATTCCCAAGTAATTTTTGTTATTATAACTAATTTATTATACTGCATATCATAGTACATGTTATAATTTACATTGAATATTTTATTTTTATTTAGATTTAAGAAACAAAGAAAGTAAATTTTATGGTGAACAAAAAAATCTGACAACGATTTTATGTCTTCTAGTAGTTTTGAACAAGACTCTGGATCAGAATATAATCCTAATACAGATAACTTGTCAATCAATAGCTCATTATTACAAGAAATGGAAAGCAATGATTCAGACGTTATAGAACAACAGGATCTAATTAAATTTAAAGTAGATGATCCAAACCTTCCAAGCACATCACACAAACCAGAAATCATACAACTACCAATTACATATGATTCTGATAATCTACAGATTCCATTATCTGATCAATCATCTGTACCTTTTATATCAAGGAATTATAATTTTAACGGAGTAGTAGAAACAAGTAAAAAGAAAAACATTACCAATAAAAGAGTTTGGGACAAGGTCGACCATTGCTTATTCTGTGAGAATAGCGTCACAAATTTCACCAGACATTTAATACGTAAACACGGCAATGAAATTGAAGTTATACGATTCATGGCATTACCAAAAGGATCAGCTGAAAGAAAAACGGAAGCTGATATTTTAAGAAAGCGAGGAAATTTTTTATTCAATGTTGATGGAAATACTAAAATAAAACCAGTACGACGTCCTTATGAGTTTGAAACTAAAACTTCGGTCGTTACTGATTATTTACCATGTAAACATTGTCTAGGAATGTTTAAAAAAAAATATTTACATAGACATTTTAAAATTTGTAAAAATTTAAAAATTAAAACCAACACAAGGAATCAACCTCAGGCAGATGGCCAGAATATTATCCTTACATTTTCAGAGACCGACGAACAGTTATTAAAAAATGTCTTCCCAAGAATGGCTCCTGATCAAATATCTCTAGTTGCAAAATCAGATAATTTAATAAAGGCTTTTGGAACCAGATATTTAAAGAGTCATAAGGAAAAACATTTAGTTGCAGTAGTCTCCCAAAAAATGAGAACTTTGGCCCGTTATCTAATTGCCATGAAGGAAGAAAATAATCAAATTTTTTCACTTGAAGACTGTCTTAATCCAAAATATTTCGATTCCACAGTTAAATGTTCTCAACAAGTAGCTAAATATAACAAACTGTCAAATAGTTATGCATCTCCATCTGTAATTTTGAAACTTGGACAATTGTTGAAACAATGTTGTGAAATTGCAGAATTTATTTTTTTAAAAGAACAACATGGTAATATAAATCAACAAGAAAATATTAAGGCGGTACAAAACATGAAATATTTAATAGAAACACAGTGGTCTCACGAAATATCTTCTAATGCTTTGAAGGACATTACACAGAAAAAGTGGAATAAACCAGCGATCTTACCTCTTACTTCTGATATTAAATTATTCAGAAATCATTTGTTAAAAATCGAAAATGAGTCATATAACAAATTAAAAGTAAATCCAGAAAATTTACATGCTTATCGTGATCTACAAGACAGTATATTAGCACAGTTAATTTTGCTTAACCGCCGCAGATATGGGGAAATTCAGAGAATACATCTTGATACCTACACAAATTCTATATCAGAAATTTCTCAGGAAGAAATTGTGCAGGCATTATCTCCCATGGAAACAGAATTGACTAAAAGCTTCAAACGTATTGTAATACGAGGTAAACGTGGGAGGGGTGTACCAGTGTTGTTTACACCTCACTTACAAAAACGTTTACAGTACTTGTTGCAACTAAGAAAAATAGTCAGCTTTATTAATAAAGACAACCCGTACCTTTTTCCATTAACTCAGTCTCCAAATAATTGTGTTAGAGCTTCAGATGTAATCCGTAAATTTGGTGATGAGTGTGGAGCTCAACACCCTGAAAACATCACTTCAACACGTTTGAGGAAACATGTCGCCACTGTAACACAACTATTAAATTTATCTGAAGGGGATATAGAACAACTATCTACATTTATGGGACATTCAGTAAACGTGCATAAAGAATATTACAGACTCTCTGACAATGCGTTCCAGGTGTATATTTTAATACGTTAATTTTTATTGTTATATTAATTATAGTACATAATATACAATGTGTATTTAAAAAAAATTTCAGGTTGCCAAAGTTAGTAAGCTTCTATTAATGATGGAAAAAGGACAAGGAAATGAGTACCGTGGAAAAAGTTTGGATGAAATAGATGTGGATGTGGATGAATTACTGTCTGGTGAAGAAGACTCTACAGACGAAGAAAATGAAATTGATATAAATCAAACCACAGCTCTTAAAACTATTAAATTAAATAAAAATAAATCAAATTCTTCTATCAAAGATAAGTCACAAAAACAAGTCCCCAACCAAATTGAAGTAGGAACAAAAGGTTCAAAAATAAAAAAAACAATTGTTATACCATGGTCAGAAGAAGACAAAGTTATAGTCACATCATACTTTAAAAAATATATTCTATTAGGTAAGACACCTAAAAAACATGAGTGTGAAGAATTTATGTTGTTACATCCTCAAATAAATAAACCTTGGAAAAAAGTTAAAGACTTTGTACATAACAAAATTAATTCACTAAAGAAAAAATAAAGATTGCTTTTTCTATTATTATTATTTATTTATTTATTTATATAGTTAATATAGATAATGAGCCTTAATGAGAAACTTGTATAGGTGCCGATGGAGGATTATCTGTTACCGTTATCAAACATATTATACTAAGTTAACTACAGTTCACACAATTATTATAAATGTTGTTAGTTATTACTAGATAAACTAAGTAGGTTCTACTTAGTTGATCTATAGTTTGTAAGGCATTATTTTCCCTATTATTTTAGTTCAATGATATATTTTTTAAAGTATCATAACAAGGACAATTTTATATCTTGGCATAAGTCATAAATTCTCTGATCAAAATTAAGTTTTAATTAAAAAATTAAAAAAGTTATTTTATGATATGATAATATTTTGTATTACAGTGGAACTATTTATTTTAAGAACTATTATTTTAGTTACCTAAATAAATGTTGTGAGATCCATCTGACAAAATTATGTATTGGTGAAGTTTGACAACAGTGTATGGATCTAATAAGTACTGCACAATGAAAATTAGAAACACTAAAGGATCTCGTATGTTAACAATTTTAACGTTTTAGATCTCATTGAGTACTAAATTTATAATCTCACACACTGGATCTCATAAGGATAGGAGACACCTTAAAATAAAAGCAAGTGTTCTTGTAATTTTATTTCAGGATCATAGTTTACGTATTATAAAAATAATTTTCCATTTACTCCAGTGCAGATATAATACGTTTTTAGGGTGGATCTCTCGTGGTTCAGTTTTCCATATGGATCTCTTACTATACAAAATGTATGTATGTGTGTGACTGTGTGTGTGAACTGTGTACATACGAGTATAATATAATATATTACAATATAGTTGATGAACTCACCATCAGCTCTTCCTTGCACCGTCTCTCCTCTTCGAGCGACATCCGTTTCTCGTGTTTTTTGAAATACTTGCGTTTGGCGGCCTGCAGGTTGAACCACGTGTACGAGAACGCTTTGACATTGGGCAGCAACGCCTCTATGAACGGATGAAATTCATCCTGCGGGGAAAGAAAAAAAAGATTTAAATTGATGTGACAGCGTCGTTGTTGTTACTCTATTATATTATAATTTACAATTATCATCATCATTATTATTATTATTGCTAAAATTCACATGTATAGGTGCTACTAAATTTTTATAATAGCATATATACGGATACTATACGCGAAATCCCTCCCTAAACTTGCAGTTATTGGCTAGGTAGTTTAAGTATACAAGTGTGTGCGGTGAACGTGTACAATCGGACCCCGGTTATCATCGAGCAACAGTCTTTAGCACGTGTTTGTAGCAGGAGGTGCTGCCAATTCGCACCGCACCGCACTGGGTTAGTGGGAATCGCGCACGCCGAGATCCTCCGGCACCCGGTGCCAACCAGACCGTTACAGCCTGCCAAACGTGCACACTACCGTGGTCGTGGTCGTGTCGTCGCCGTGACCCCGTTGGCCGAGACATCTTATGCAATTGGCATGGTATATCGATGTGTGTGTGTGCTGGAGAATACGCACGTCATGCGTACGCACACAAACACTAAAATCGGAAACTGCCAAATTTTTTTTTTTTTGATTTTCAAACGGGTTTCGGCCAACGACAACAGTAAACAAACAAGACTGTTGTTTACTGCAGTGATTCGTCTGTTGTAGAAGTTCTTCCGTTAATGAAATTCAGAATTCTCACGTTTATTCATAATAATCATTGAATATATTATATAATACTAGGTATATTATACATGACACAAGTGTAATTGGCGTCAACGCAAAACGAATCGTGNCCTTTCCTGCGGTCTTTGTCTTTTTGATATTGGCTTTTGGTTCTAAATCATTTTTTCTTTTATTACCGCTTACTTTGGCAGGTTTTGCGATAGATATACTTTCAGTTTCATGCTATTATTTAATATAATTACAATACTATTAATATAATAATTATCAAATTATGATTTGTATGACACACACACACACACACACATACATACATATTATACTGTACTACTGTACAAACATACTTACATCTTCGTTTGAAGAGCTTTCGGCAGATGCATTTGTATAGTAAGACATTGTGTTTTTTTTATAACTTAAATAAAAAAAAAATGTTAAAGATGTTAGATTTTTAATATATCAGATTTTTTTTTTAAAAAATAATTACCTGATCAAATGTATTTCTACGGTGTGAAGCGACAACACACACACACACACACAGTCCTGGTGAATACAATGTAGAGATTTAACACTAGAGTAGCCTGGGGTAAAAGTGCGCGTTTTCTATTTATTTGGTTTTTATAATGTGATAAACATTTTTAAATGCTCTCAAGTGATATTTTTTCTAAAGGTTAATTTATAAGGAATGTAAATTTATAGATTGAACTTTATTTTTATGTACCTTTAAATAATTATTTACAAAAAATGAAAAAAATAAAAATTGGGAATTTTACCCCATGCATGGGGTAAAATTCCATATAGGTCAGGGTAAAAGTCCTTATGGGAAATCAATATAGACTTAGTTACATAGGATAACTCTGTATTTGAAATTAGTAATTAAATATTATTCTACAATATTAATTACAATCATTAAAATATAAAAGGAACTTGGTTACTTCACAGTCATTACTTTTTATTACTAAATTACGTAGTAAAAAGAACAAAAAAAAAAAATCATATTATCATGACTAGTTTGACAATTTGTTTCATTTAACTTATATTAAAAACTTGATCAATATCTTTCCTTGAATGGAAAAATAAATCATTTAACAATTTAACACTTGATATTAAATAATAATTATAAAAATAAAAATAAAACAATATATTATGCTTAAATTGCATAGTTAAAAAAAAAAAAATAAATAATCTCTTTTTTATGACTACCTTGTCAATTTTAACAAAAAACTTAAAATATAAATTTAAAAAAAAACTTTCAATAAAAAATGTAATTAAAATATAATTTCTATGAACATAAATCACATACAAAGTCGTTATGGAGATCCTCGTAGTATGAACATGCTTCATGCCACCAAATCTTACATTTACAACACATAATCCAATCCTCGGTTGGTGGATCTTCATATTTTTCATTACATGCTGGACAATTTTCTTTGTAAGTTACCGTCGTAGCTGATTCAGCATTAACAGTAGTGCTTACTTGTTCAGAGGTATCAGCTTTTTTAAGCACTTTTTTCTTCCTTGGTTTTGATTTAGTTTCAAATACATTTCTTCTTGCTTGTCTATCTGCTTTATTTTTTTCAGAAATTAGTTTTGCATTTGCCTTATCTTTTTCTAAAGTTTCAATTTGCGTTTTATAAGGACTAGAAGACAAAATTTCAGATTTTTTGCCATTGGTACGACGCTTTCTTTTTAGTGATATTTTAGGAAGAGGTATTATATCTGCAGGTGACACTGGAGATTTTATATTTTTTGAAGTTGAGGCTTGAAGTACATTATTTTCTAATGACTTTGTAGACATATTAGAAGGAATTACTATAAGTGATGATGTAGATGATTCTTCGACTATTTGATTTAATGGAATTTCATCATTAATAAATTCGATTGGCAAATTTATAATGTCTAACGGCTGATTATTTTGAAGATCTTCAGAAACTGTTTGATCTGTCACAGTAGAAGGTAGAAAATCATCATCACTAAAAATATTTGGATTGAGTGGCCAAATCCCACACATTTGAAATGCATTTAAGGCTTTGTTCATTGTTGCAGTTTCTCCATATGCATTACCGAAAATTTCTGCAAGTTGATATAAAATGACTACTCTGCCAGGATGTGTGGTAGTCCATATATCATAATGGTAGGCATAGTAGTCTTTTAACGGCTTGAAGAAACATCTATCTAATGGTTGAGTACGATGACTCGAATGTGGTGGTATACTCACCAAATGTATAAAGTTAGCTCGACAATATATTATTGTATTTATATTAATATGTGAGGTGTGATTGTCCAAAATAAGTAAAACTGGGGAGTCTTCAGATGGTTTAACATGGTGTTTAAAATGTTCTAACCACTTTAAAAACAACTCTGAATTTATGTAACCACTATCAGATAATAAACCTAAAGTTTCTGGGGGGGCCCCGTTCAAATATTCTTCTTTCATTCTTTTTCTCGGAAAAACTAAAATAGGGGGTACATAAATACCACTCGCACTGAAGCAACAAACAGCTGTAACCAATTCACCACGTTCGGCAGCAACAGATTTTCCCACTATTTTTTTTCCTTTGGACGAAATCACTTTTGGGACTTTATTTGGTACTGTCAGTATTCCTGTTTCATCCATATTAAATATACGACTTGGCGGTACATTCAATTTTTGATACACTATTCTTAAATTATCATAAAATCGATTTATTTGATAACGATTGAATCCCATGATTCTTGCAACACTTGTTTTTTGAGGAGTTCTTAATGATAAATTATGTCTTAAAATAAAAGAATTTGCCCAGTCATATCCCGCTAATTGTTTTTCTTCATTAAATCGATGTTCAATGTTATTTTTTAATGCAAATTGATATGCTAATTGTTGTAATTTTTTAAAAGATAGCCCATAAAATCTATCGTCCAAGTCTTTACAATGTTTTGATAACTCTTTTTCTTGTTCATCGTTAAATGTTCTTTTAAAACGCCCCAACGATGATACACCATGCCCAACTTTTAACCTTTTTCTTAGTGCTGACTCACCTATCCCTAATTGCATTGCTGCACTACGAGTTGATACTCCGGTATCAATTAAATTTTTTGCAGCATTATATATTACTTCAGTAATTGGTACACGGTTCGTTTTTCTTACATGAGTTCTAAAATGAAAATTTTAAAGAGGAGATTGGTAGATATTTAATAAAATAAAGTATCTAATTAGAAAATTAAATTGTTATTGGGCCGGGGTAAGAGTACGTACTGCGAACTTTTACCCCAAATTAATTTCGTACTCTTACCCCAAATCAAAATGTTTAACATAATCATCATTATCTATTTGCCTGTGTAACGATACTAATTATACGACTCTTGTAATATAAAGTTTAGAAAATATTATAACATTTGATTAACAGTTTCATACCTAATACAAGTGATATTAAGTTTAAATATACTTAAGAAAAAACTACAATATTACATCAGATGATTAAATAATTTAGCTTACCTCATGTTAAACAAAATAATGTTCCAACCATGTGCTAACGTGCAGACGATCGTAAAGAAATGATAAAATAATCGTTGATAATAAACAGTTTGGCCATATATTAAAAATTAAATTTATAGTGGAGGAATTGGACTCTTACCTCATGCGCACTTTTACCCCAG